GTTGTCAAGGATTTCATTTTACTTGAATCCACAATCAACACCCATGGAAGCAGCAGTCAAGAAATCAAAAGACGCATTGCATTGGGCAAATCTGCTGGAAAAGACCACTTTAAAGTGTTGAAAAGCAAAGATGTCACCTTGAAGACTAAGGTGCACCTGGCCCAAGCCATGGTAATTTCAACTGCATCACATGCAATCAAAAACTGGACAATGAATAAGGAAGACTGAAGACGAACTGATGCCTTTGAACTGTGGTGTTGGCAAAGAATACTGAATATACCATGGATTGCCAAAAGAATGAACAAATCTGTCTTGGAAGAAGTACAACCAGAATGTTCCTTAGAAGGAAGGATGGCAAGACTATGTCTTACATAGTTTGGACATGTTGTCAGGAGGGATCAGTCTCTGGAGAAGGACATCATGCTTGGTAAAGTACAGGGTCAGTGAAAAACAGGAAGACCCTCAACAACATGGACTGGCACAGTAGCTCCAACAATGGGCTCAAGCATAACAATGATGGTGAGCATGGCACAGGACCGGGCAGTGTTTCGTTCTGTGGTGCAAAGGGTCACTATGAGTCAGAACCGACTTGATGGCACCTAACAACAACATGTTGTACTACAGTTGCCCTAGTTATATAAAATGTAACCACTAGGGGAAGGTGGGTGAAGGGTACACAGGCCCTCTCTAGCCTATTTTTGTAGCTTCCCATGACTCCACGAGTAGGAACTGACTTGATGGCAATGAGTACGGTATTCAAAATAAATAAATTTTCTTTTTTCAGTTCCTCTTGTTGCACCAGCCACATTTCCAGCACTCAATAGCCACATGTGGCCAGCGGCTACCATAATGGGCAGCACGGACAGAGAACCATTCCATCACTGCAGAATGTTCTATCGGACAGCACTGTGCTAGGGCAGCACATTTCAATCTGCAGATGTAGATCCACTAGAGGGTCATGAAATCACTTAGGCAGGTCACAACTAGCATCTAAAAGAAAAGAACAGAAGGCAGGCTGTGTCTGAGCACTAAGGGAAGCCCCACCTTCTGTGCTCGGTTCCACAATCCACAGTGCGTGTGCTTGGGTTGCAGTGCAAGAGGGCGGCAGTTACAAATGTAGAAAAGCCACTGCTCAAACTTTGAGCTCCGCAGGGGCAGAGTCCACCCCAGGAACACCAGGCCCGGACCCACTCCACAGTCACACAGCTGGTGAGGGGTTCAGCTGGGGACAGCCTCCTCTGGGGAGTGTGAGTTTATGGCACTTGCCTTACAGATGGACGCACAGGCTTTCTCAGGGCTGTTCTCTCTGCCCCAGGGCTGCCTGCCTCACCCTCCCTTCGCTATCTATCCTCCATCATCAGTTATAATCAGAGGAGATGACACTTCCGTGGGCACCCCTCTAAGAGTTTCAGGTCCAGAGAGGCTGAGTAACCTGTCCCAGGCCACACAGTGTGGGTCTGACCCCAGGCCATGGGCATCTGAGCACTTCAGCAGCCATGACACGGTCTCCTGCTGCTGGTGCCAGTGACCATAGCTTCTTGTGCCCATCCTGCCACCCAGGGCTCCCCCCGCCTGCCTTGTCTGGGGCTCGGCCGGGCACTTACGGTGGCTGGTGAGGCACGGGTGGTATGGGAGTAGGACTGGCTGGCACTGCCCAGCATGTACCCGCCTTGGATCACGTAGGTGCCCGCTCCGCTGCTGCTGCCGCCACTGCCGCCACCGCCGCCACCACCTCCCCCGCCACCGCCGCCGCTGCCTGCACCACTGCTGTTGCTGCCGCTGCCCCCGCTGCTGGTGGAGCTGGCAACGACCTGGCCGCCGGACACGTACATGGGCACGGAGCCACTGCTGGGCACTGCCTGGGAAGTGGCGGGCGTGCTGACCTGGGCGGCCGTGCCGGCAGCCTCGTAGTAGCTGGTGCCGGCCGTCTGCGTGTACAGCGGCGTCTCAGGGTAGGAGTAGGTGCTGGAGCGGCTAAGGAAGAAGCAGAAGGAGAGTCAAGGGACGAGGCCTGAGGACAGACCCAGCTCCTGGAGGGGAGGTTCCCAGGACCCTGGGATTCTGCCCTGTCGCAGCCCTAGGACAGCTAGCCCCGAGAAAGGCACGAAACAAGACGGCCAACACTTCCCTCCAGTGGACCAGCCCCCTCCCATGTGCTTGATGGCAAGTTTCCATCCAATCCGTAGAGCAGCGCCCTGATGCTGGAATCACTGTCCCCACACAGACGTGAGGAAACCAAGATGGACGGGACCGGTAGTTTGCAATAGGCCACACATTTCAACTCAATCAAAACGCAGATTATGGAGCTCCTACTGTGTGCTGGGCCCTGTTCTAGATACTGCAGACACAATGGTGGACAAGAGAGAAGTCCTTGCCCCCAGGGAGCTGATGTCCTAGTCGGGGAGACAAGACTGGACGCTGTGCAAACAGGAACAGTGGGTGCAACAAGAGGAGGTGTGTGCTGAGGAGGTAAATGAGGCAGGAAGGGGGCTGACAGGAGAGGGGGGATTCTGATTTTAACTATGCGGGTCACCCTGAGGGGCTATTTGGCAACAACGACTGTAAGTGTGCAGATGCACTTTCCACGGACCCAGCTCCCACCCTGCTCCTGGAGGCTGACCCTACGGCCCTCCTTGCTCCTGGTGCCAGGACACCCTGGGGCCCTCTCTAGGGGTTTAAAGAAATGACAGTGGGTGCTGTGCAGGTATAAAAGAGAATGAAGAAGCCCCACTGTCCTGCTCCGGAACACGCTGTTAAATTGAAGAAATGGTGGAGACGGTATGGACAGTGTGTCGGGGAGAGGGACGACAGCTCAAGCAGCATGTCTGTCCTCCGTGGGATGGAGGGCACCAGGCAGAGGTGACAGGCAGGAACACCACATTCAGTCTCTCAATAGATACCATGGGACACAGCTTTGATTTTGGAACCCTCTATGAGTCGGAATCAACTCGATGGCAACAGGTTTGGTTTTATTGTTTTAACATATTAAAAAAAAAACACATAAAGTTGGAAACAAAGAGGGAGGATCAATAGTTGGAAAATATGGCCTTGGTGAGAGAAATGACGCCAGAGATCACGTGATAGAATTTTGCAAGACCAATGACTTCTTCATTGCAAATACCTTTGTTCAACAACATACATAAACATCAACTATACATGTGGACCTCACCAGATGGAATACCTGGGAATCAAATCGACTATATCCGTGAAAAGAGATGATGGAGAAGCTCAGTGAGAACAAGGCCAGGGGCCGACTGCAGAACAGACTATCAATTGCTCACATGCAAGTTCAAGTCGAAGCTGGATAAAAGTAAAACAAGTCCACGAGAGCCAAAGTATGACCTTGAGTATATCCCACTTGAATTTAGAGACCACTTTAAGAATAGATTTGATGCACCGAACACTAATGACCAAAGACCCGACGAGTTGTGGGATGACATCAGGGTCATCGTATATGAAGAAAGCAAAAGGTCATTAAAAAGACAGGAAAGAAAGAAAAGACCAAAATGGATGTCAGAGTCTGAAACTTGCTCTTGTACATAGAGTAGTTAAAGCGAATGTAAGAAATAATGAAGTAAAAGAGATGAACAGAATATTTCAAAGGGCGGCTTGAGAAGACAAAGTACAGTATTACAATGAAATGTGGAAAGACCTAGAGTTAGAAAACCAAAAGGGTTTCACCTAAAGCACAATCAAAAACAAGAGTCAAATGAGAAAGGTGGAAGTGTGAATATGGAGCCGCTGAAACCCTTATGCAGTGCTTGTATAATATAAACGTAAACTGAAATATTCACTTGGGAAAAGAATTTGGCATTAGTGAATAAAGTTAAAGATGCAAATACCCTAAAAAAAAGAAAATCAATAGGGAAAAAAACACTTGGTATTTGTTAAGCTGAAAGAACTGAAGAAAAAATTCAAGCCTCAAGTTGCAATACTGAAGGATTCTATGGGCAAAAAAGCTTCGTCTCATGTACTCTAGACATGTTATCAGAAGGGACCAGTCCCTGGAGAAGGACATCATGCTTAGTAAAGCAGAGATCAGCGAAAAGAGGAAGATCCTCAAGAAGACGGATTGACACAGGGGCTGCAATAATGGGCTCAAACACAGCAATGATTGTGAGGATGGCGCAGGACTGGGGAATATTTCGTTCTGTTGCACATAGGGTAGCTATGAGTTGGAAGAAACTCGACAGCACTTAACAACAACAACATTGGGCAAAACACTGACTGATGTAGGAAGCATCAAAAGAAGATGGGAGGAATACACAGAGTCATTGTACCAAAAAGAATTGGTCCATGTTCAACCATTTCAGGTGGTAGCATACGATCAAGAACCAAGTACTGAAGGAAGACATCCAAGCTGCACTGAAGGCACTGGCAAAAAACAGGCTCCAGGAAGTGACGGAATACCAATTGAGATGTTTCAACAAATGGATGTAATGCCGGAAGTGCTCACTCATCTATTGCAAGAAATTTGGAAGATAGTTAACTGGCCAACCGACTGGAAGAGATCCGTATTTGTGCCCATTCCAAAAAAAGATGATCCAACAGAATGTGGACAGTATCAAACAATATCATTAATATTGCACACAAGTTAAATTTTGCTGCAGATAATTTAAAAACGATTGCAGGAGTACATCAACAGGGAACTGCCAGAAATTCAAGCTAGATTCAGAAGAGGACGTGGAACCAGGGATATCATTGCTGATGTCAGATGGATCTTGGCTGAAAGCAGAGAATATCAGAAAGATGTTTACCTGTGTTTATCCATTAAGCAAAGGCTTCGACTGTGTGGATAATAACAAATTATGGATAACATTGCGAAGAATGGGAATTCAAGAACACTTAATCGTGCTCATGAATAACCTATACATAGACCAAGAGACAGTTGTTTGAACAGAACAAGGGTTTAAAATCAGGAAAGGTGTGAGTCAGAGTTGTATCCTTTCACCATACCTATTCAGTCTGCATGTTGAGCAAATAATCTGAGAAGCTGGACTATATGAAGAAGAACATGGCATTATGATTTGTGGAAGACTCATTAATAACCTGCGTTATGCAGATGACACAACCTTGCTTGCTGAAAGTGAAGAGGACTTGAAGCATTTACTGATGAAAATCAAAGACTATAGCCTTCAGTATGGATTACGCCTCGATATAAAAAAAACAAAAACCCTCACAACTGGACCAATAAGCAACATTATGATAAACGGAGGGAAGACTGAAGTTGTCAAGGATTTCATTTCACTTGGCTCCACAATCAACACCCATGGAAGCAGCAGTCAAGAAATCAAAAGACGCACTGCATTGGGCAAATCTGCTGCAAAAGACCTCTTCAAAGTGTTGAAAAGCAAAGTTGTCACCTTGAAGACTAAGGTGCGCCTGACCCAAGCCATGATATTTTCAATGGCCTTGTATGCATGTGAAAGCTGAACAATCAATAAGGAAGACCGAAGAATTGATGCCTTTGAATTGTGGTGTTGGTGAAGAATATTGACTATACCATGGACTGCCAGAAGAACAAACAAATCTGTCTTGGAGGAAGTACAACCAGAATGCTCCTTAGAAGCAAGGATGGTGAGACTTTGACTCACATACTTTGGACACGTTATCAGGAGGGACCAGTCCATGGAGAAGGATATCATGCTTGGTAAAGTAGAGGGTCAGCTAAAAAAGAGGAAGACCCTCAAGGAGATGGAACGAAACAGTGACTGCAACAATAGGCTCAAACATAGCAATGACTGCGAGGATGGCACAGGACTAGGTAGAGTTTGGTTCTGTTGTACACGGGGTTGCTATGAGTCGGAACCGACTTCGACGGCACCTAACAACAACAACATATTATTGATTAAAAATCATAAAACCAAATTAAAAAATGAAGCGAGATAGTGAGGCTGGTCAGGGTGGCCTGGCTCAGGCGCCATCGAGTGGACTGAAAGGAAGCAGGACAGTGACCTGGCAGGCCTCTGGGGCAGCACTCTGGACAGGGGATGGGCAACAAAGAGGAGGGGTGTGGGAGGAGGTGCGGTCAGCCACAGTGATGCCAAGGCCTGAGCTCTTATCACAGAGCCCAGTCCACACCCACCACACCAAGCAACACCAAGAGCATGTGACCTGGCCCGACACCAGCCCCACCCCACAGTGTGGCCGGGACCAGGTCCTGTTCACCCGTGTGGCGAGGTCCAGCCTAGTGCCAGGCACACGGTGAGTGCTTGAAAAACGTTGCTTTGGAAGTTATTTGCTGAGTGAGTGAATGAATGTGTATGTCTCTGGACATGTCCTTTGGCCAGGGCAGGGGACTCAGGCCAGCAAAGTTAACACCCTGCTGTGAGGGAGAGACAAGGATAGAGACAACAGCAGGATCTGCTGCCAGGCACTTCACACACGGAATCCGAGGGAAACCGTGAACTGTGTGGATTACGCATGCCAGGATCACGAAGGAAAGAATTCAAGGAAAGACAGGCACGACCAGGGAGGACTTCGAGCAGGGTCAGCCGGAGAAGCCCACCTTGGACCCTGAGGCCCAGGCTCAGGACTCAGAGTGCCCCGCTCTGTCTCTGATATCCAGAACCCTCAGGTCAGACTCCTCTGGAACGCCCTCTACGGCCTCCGCAGCTTGGGCATTCTGGGGAATTTGTTGTTCCACCGTTTGTCCAGCTCTGAGGCTCAGGGTACTGGAAACAGCGGCAGAACTGTGAGGCACTGGATGCCGTAAGCCTGTCCCACCCTCAGGTCCAGCCAGAGCATCATGCCCGAGGGGCTTCGTCATGCCATGAGCTAACCTACCTCCAGCCCATCCCTATGGTGGGCAGGTGGTGGGACGAAAGAAAACATCAGACAAGTGCAAAGAAAACCAAATTAAACTTCCAGAAGCTAAAAGGCAGCAGCAATGACTAGAGTCCTGGAGTCACTACTATGCACGTAGAGAGGGGAGGTGGCGTTGGGGATCCCACCATCTGCCCTGGTGCAATGTGTGGGCTCGAGAACTGCACCCAGAACAAATGCCACACCGTGCCACTGGCAGCGACCAGAGTAGGGACTGGCCAGTCAGCTCCCAGGGCATCTGCACAGGGGAGCGCCTATTACACAGCAATTACAAAGGCTGACCCTATCCAGGTGGACAATGAAGGGGAGAGCTGCAAGTTGAGTTCTGGGGAAGAAACAAGGCAGCAGCCTCTGCTTCTGCTTTGGCAGAAGGAAAGAGTGCTTTCTATGCTGCGGATATCCCTGGGGGGAAACAAACTGGGTACAGTGTCCCCTTGGGGTAGACTTGGGGTCAGGAGTGAAGGAGATTTCTTCTTCCCTGTCTAACATTCCCTATCACTTGCAAATGTTCAACTTTGCCAACACTGAAAAAAAATATACGTATTTTTCAGCTAACAACAAGGTTCATCTGAGGCAGAGCCCAGGCTTTGTTGCTGCCTCAGTGACCTGTCAGGGCCCTTCTGCCTCTCAGAGGCCACTGGCTGCCCCTGGGGAGCACCTGCCCATCTGTCACCTAGCACCTTGGAGGCAGACAGCCCAGCAGGGTCCTGAGCAGTCCTGGACCCCCTTCCCACCCAGCATACCCTCACTCACATGGCGCTGGCCGTGTAGCTGGCATCGCCACCCTCCACATACTGCACCTGGCTGGAGTACACGTGTGGGACAGGCACCTGCTGGAGCTGCTGCACCTGGACGGGAGCAAGGGCACAGAGGGTCAGGGGCCAGCCTCTCCCCTCCACTTCTGAGGGGTGGAACCCTGCTCCTCAGCTGGGAGGCCACATTCCTTGGCTCTCTGGACACACCCTGGGCAGGGACAGGACAAAGGCCTACTGGCCAGGGTGGGGACTCAGCCCAAAGAGGGCTGGGAACTGGGAAAAGCTGCATCAAGAGGAAAGTAGCCAGGACTCCCCTGCTAGGGCTGGGAGCAGGAGCCTCATGGGGCTGAGGTGGGGTGGGCGGAAGGGCTGGACAGCGTCCTATGTGGCATGAAGGTTGGACCCAGAGGCAGAGCCAAGCACTGGGCCTGGGCCCATTGCTAAAGCAGGACTCTGGGACCACGGACAAGGCCTTGGGTTGTGAGATGGGGTCTGCAATCTGGAGGTCTGTAGGGGCGAGGCCTGGAGAATGAGGACAGGATACTAGGGGCAGAGCCTGGGGCTAGGATTGGGGTCCCTGTCTGTAGGGCAGAACGGGAACTATAGACAGGGCTTTAGGGGCGGGGCCTGAGTATCCCACCCCACCCCCACCCAGGCTGTAGGGGCGGAGCCTGGGACCTGGGCTTTGGGAGTTAGAGATGGACCGGCCAAGTGGGGATCTACCCTGCGGGTGCGGGGGCCTGGGGGGCAGCCCGGGCCGGGCGCGGGCCGGAGCCACGGATCCCGCCCCCGCCCGCCCGTCGCCCCCGCCCATCTGTCCCCACCTACTTTGAGGGCCGTGGCGGCCGTGCCGAACACTAGCACCTGGGGGACTCTCTGGATCCTGACCCTCTGGTCGGGGCTGGCTCGGGCCGGGAGCCCGGGCAGTGGCTCGATGACCACTTTCTGCTGCGGCAGGAGCAGGTGCGGGGGCAGCACGCGTACCAGCTCCACCCACTGCTCCGCGCCGGGCTCGGCCGCGGGCGCCGCGGCGGCGGGCAGGTAATGGAGCCGCGGCGGCTCGGGGCTGCCTAGCTGCGGGGCCT